TGGAGCTTCAGGGTTCAATACTTGCCAGTAGAAATCAGAACCCATCGAAACTTGTATAGGTAGATTTTGTAAGTTATCGTAAGGGTCAGCCAGTTTCATTCTTTTCATGAATGCGAGCCGTGAAACATCAGTTGGAGCAGATGGATGTAACGCGTATTCATTGGAACTTTCAAATGCTTCCATATTAGTTGAAGACTGATTTCAAATGCTCGATAGTTGAAACTTTACTTGTCTCATATAGGAAACATTCGCTGTAGATTCAAACCCATGCATTTCCAATGATTTTGCAGAAATAACTGTTAATTTCAAACTATCAGCAAGATCATTATGAATGAAACTAGACTGCTTACCTCCATCCAGAAGGCAACGGGTCAATCTTGTAGCACTAGTCGGGCCCGTTATAAAAACTCTTGCAGTTAGTGTTGGGTGTAGCAATATCGATCTTGTGAGTAGACGTAGTACATGGGTGATCAAAACTGTTCTTACAAATTGAAACATGGTGCTTTTTCTTGCATTTCACACAACAAGTCTATTCCTTACGAGCACAGCTCTGTTTTGTGTGCCCTCGTCCAGTGCACAAAAAACATCTATTCGTAGCTTTTAATTTCTATATTCGTGTCTATATCTGTCACAGAGTTGCACTTTTGAGGCCAATGTCCGGCAGTTTCTCAAAAGGGACGGAATGGGTGAATGTTTCTTATTTTTAGTAATTGGCTTTGAATTTACATTGAAGTTTTCTGATGTGGATTTTAAGAAATAATCAGAAGACATAAGACCTTTAATCTTGCTTGATGTAAGGGCACCTCCTACTTCTTCGGCGAGAAAATATATTAGTTGTGAAATATCACCTGTTAAAATTTTTTGACGTTTCGCATGAATAACCCATCGGCAACAAATGCCGTCAGGGAATGCACGTAAAATTTTAGGAGATAAAACTCTACCGTATGCGTCAATATCTTCGCCTAAAGCACATAGAGCCTGTAACCTTCTGTTGCATTGAATATTAACTTCATTCAGTGAAGTTTGCGATGGATTGCGGATTGGTGTTAAATTCTCTAAAAAATCCAAATGAAATTGAATAATTCTATTTTTGTCACCATATTTGTCCATAAGTAGCTTCTTAGTGGTTTCATATGTATCAGCAATAATACTTATACCATCAACCAATCGTTTTGGTTCATCTTCTGAATATCCCCTGAGAAAAACATGTTTATTAATTGACGATAAATTTGGATTATCGTCTACAGACGTTTTAAATTGTTCCCCAAAACATTTCCAATGTTCAACGTCACCACGAAATGGTTCTAATTTTACTGTCGGTAGTTTCACATTTTGTTGTGGTGTGTGGTTTGAATCGGAAAGTTAGTAATATTTGGTGAATCTACACTCTCATTCTTGTTTTGATCATCTTTCATAGCACGATTGGCATCAAAAATCGCACGATTGGCGTTATCCGTATATTTCTGGCATTGCTCTACATCAATTTCGTATTCCGCATTCAAGAGTAATATGTCTATATCATTATCCACTATTTCCATGTCATCAATTATTTCGGCAAGACGACTACAAGTGAATTTAATATCCGCATTCGACGTAGAATTTAAAGTGTCCTTCAGTTGGCAAATGAAGCTAGTAGTATTAGCTCGAATTGTTTTACGTTTGCGCTTCAATTGCGCCATTTTGTCTGCCGAATCATTTTGCGTTGAAGTCATTCTGATTAAGTGGAAGAGAAATAAAAATGAAGTTGCGTAAACAAATTCTCACCTTAAAGATGTGAGAACGCAGGAACGTATTTTCCCCCTTAAATCCTGGTCCATAGAAAGGTTGAGTATTTCGGCACCATAATGTTAGTTTTTACAGCGATCTTATTATTTTATTTCCCCTGACATACACAGACGATAAACAAAAAAGCATTAATAACAAGAAAAAGTCGTTAGGTTGCTTAGCAACCAGTCAGAGTTAGAATGTTACAATTACAAGAATTGCCAGCCGTGTTAAAACAGTTATTTAAACTAACTGCCCATTGTTGTTGCAACAGTGCTCACGGGTGGAAGGAGGGAATGTAAAATTTGAAATCAATTTAATTACCGAAAGTAGACAGAGACTTAAAAGTGTTGAAATGTGCACTATTATGTTATGAACGATAAATTAATTCTTACATATGCTATAATGACTGGTGACGTACCTTCATGGATGACGACTAGTGTTAGATGACTGTGAGACATTTTGTCTCTTGGTTCGTTTTTATGTCCTCTTAATGATGACCAAGGACTATTTCAATTAGAGTTTATTTATTATTAAATTCTTGATTATAGAATTATTTACAGAAAAGTTACAAATAGATACATGAGCTGTTGAGTATAATGTTTTTGGAGTGCAACTGCTCTCTTTCTTTTTGTTCATACTAAATCTATCATCGTTCAATTACAACTCTACTCTTCAGCGTTCAAAACGAATCTATTCCTAAAAAATCCTCTTTTCTCATAAGACAGTCCTTTGCTCCACCCCCAAGGTATGGGACGACACCTCCAATGTCCTTCACCCTCTGACCCTCAGGTCAAGGGGTCAATCCAATGCGTGGGAGAGGAATCAGGATCCTGACAATGACTTAAAAGTTTCAGTGGTGACTATAAATTAATTAATCAATACAAATGCTGGCGAGTGACGACCATATTTGGCAGTACTTTTGCTTTCGTTACTTGTATCGCCGGTACAAGTAAAAAGTACGTACTTTTACTTGTACTTCGTTACTTTTTAAATTTAGTACTTTTACTTGTACTTTCGTTACTTTTTTAGGGAAAAAGTACAAGTATTTGTAACGGAAATATCGAATGAAATCGTTACTTTTTTCTGAAACTCGGTAAGCTTTCTAAAAAAAAAGAAATTAAATTTAAAAATAAATACTTACATATTTTTTTTAATTTATAAAATTAATGTGCAATATATATGCATTCACAGCTAACTTCGTGTTTAAATACCTTCTGTTTCAACTTATACTGCACATTCAATTATTTTTTACTAGCTCAAAGATCACAAAGCTATCTGAAACCCCGTGTTTGCTTTGTTTATGTTTGTGCTTTTAAAACGCGTTTCTAAAGAGTAAAACAATTTTAAATCAATGGTAATTTAAATAAATAAAAATAATAAACTAAAAATTAAAATCAATAGATAAAATTTCTTTTTCGTGCAAATCCATAAAAAGTTTGATATTAAAATTATATTTGATTTTAAAATTATATTATACGATTATATTATAAAATTATATTATAATATTCTTCCGAATTTAAAAATAAATTAATATCCATAACTTTCAAAATTAAAAATAATTAAATAAATAACAACAATTTTGCAAAAACATTAAAGAACATAAGAATATTATTCAATAAAATTTTAGGTTACTTTGAATTTTCGATTTCCTAGAAATGTACTTTTAAGTCGTTACTTTTTTTGTTTAGTACTTGTACTTTTACTTGTACTTTTTACTCGTTGCTTTTTTTAAAAATACTTGTACTTTTACTCGTTACTTATTAAAAGTAACGTTGCCATACATGGTGACGACTCAGTTAGATGTGACTTGAATTGATCATTAAGGAAAGTAGAGATAGGAAAACTTAAATTCCACTTAATTATCCAATGAAGACAGACTTGAAATTAATAAAATATTAACTATGATAACTCGACACGTTTATGGATCACGACATATTCTATAATTACTGAAAGGATACTTTCATGATTGACGTCAGTCTAAAATGTTTTAAGACATTCATTGGTGATGACATAATCAGAAATGACTTCAAATGCTGAACTTTTTATAATAACATAGTTTTTAATGTTATCCCTATGATGCTGAATTCTTAATAAACGTATTTTTCCTACTACCTACTTTTTTATTGTTATTTTGTATTAATTTAGGTCAAAATAAGTGAAAAATATTATACATAGCATTTTAATAATTTATGGTAATGGAATACAGCATGAAACACCCGTGACTTTTTCTGCGTTAAAGGTAAAATCTTCCAAACCTGGCTAACTTCCTTACAATAAATTTTTAAATTTCCACTTATTTGCAGTTATTTATATCGAATACTTATAGTTTTCATTATTGAAATTTCTTTAATCAGAAACGATTTGGTATTAAATCTTCGAATATGAATGAAGAAGGAAGTTTCGAACTACTATTTTTTCCTTCTTTTTATTATTTAAGATTTTAGTACGAACATAATTCCAATAATCCAATAGCTTTTTTTTTGGCAACTGGTAGGCTGTTTTTCAAAATTAAAAAGTACTAAAATATATTTTTGCTTGCAATTAGTGTAGCAGAAAAAAATATATGAAAAGGAGACCGGTGTGGTGTAGCTACCACTATAAATATTAAATACAAATTCACTAGAATATATAACATGTTAACTTGATTTTATCTAGAAGTACCTTTTGATGGAAGAAGGTTGACATAGCCGTTAATTAATTCCCCTCATTGGTAACCTCCGGACGCGAAAAGAACTTGCCAATATTGATGGATGATCTACATTAAACAGTTGATTTGCTTAAAAATATACTGCTCAAGGAAAAAAAAATCCGGTGTAGTAAATAAAGACTCCGGTCAATAAACAATATTAAAGAAAGAAAATATTGAGCGAAATGCTATAAAAAAATGAAGAAAAAAGTAATGAGCGAAATGCTATAAATAAAAAATAGTGAAGAAAACGAAATATAATGAGCAAAAATGATATAAATAAAAATAAACAGCATGTATCAACTAGCGGAATTCATTCATCAAATTCTATCACAGATAAAATTCTGGAAGGGGAGTAATGTGACGTTACTACCACTATAAATATTAAATGACTATTCACTAGTATATAACTACATCTCAACTTGATTCTGCCTTTCGATAGAAGAAGGTTGACATGGTCTAAGATTAAATCCCCTCACCGGTGTCCCATATGCGTCATAGGGTTAAGGGTTATTAAAAGTGAATCTTGATTAATTATAAACATTACCTTGGCGCCATCTGCCAGAGCGAATCCTCCTCCACTTAGCAAAAGTATACCCCATGGCAATTTTGTTTGAACTGTTTTCCATCCCAATATTGGACGACTGTTGAGATTTCTGATGTTGGAAGGAAGGAAAAACAGCAGAAATGCAACTGTTATGGCAGGCACTGAATCCCCTATCAGACTAAAAATACATATTTATCAATTCAGTTGAATGACTCACATTAAAGGTTTACACGGAATCTTGGGTGTTTTTCAATCACCACCCTCAATATATATCTTTAGAATCTTTGTAAAAAAGGAAGTCAAACGAATTTACACACAATGGTTTGTAGATATTTATTTAGATGTGGAAAAAAAAGAGGAGTTATCAAACCTCGATTTCTTTAATAATGTTTCTCCAGGTTTTGACGAAATCATTAATGCGGAAATCGAGATTAAAGATATTAGATCCAGTAAGATTACCGGAGGAAATAAAATATAATTATCATAAACACCTTTAAATTCTCTCTGACCATGAAACTATGGGGGAATAATTCTCACTCCAATTTTCTCAATTGTGATTCACTGCATTTCGATAGCGCCTTTGTTTTTTCTTCTTACTCAAATATTGATTTGTAACCAGTGTTGTGTAGATTTTGCCTTCATTTTTGACAAGGATTACATAGTTCGTTGGGATTATACAAGGATCATACATTATACAGAATTATACACTAATGGCGATTATTATAGAGTATTCCAGTTGTTAAACAGGGAGAGGTTTGTAATAAAATATTGTTTGCTGTCCAACCTAGCATGGGATAGTTTGGTTTATGACGACAATCGAGTTCAGAAATTGATGAAATGTATTCGCGTTTTATGCACGTATTATATCAACAATTGCTATAATAACCATTGTTGAACAGCCCACCCAATGTATGGGCTTACGACTACTAATGTTTAACTCCGTAGCCTTGTAATTTTGAACCCAAGCCAGAAGACAAGGGAACTATTGGATCGAGTATTGGGAGAAATTTGCCTTCGAGGAAGACTTTTTGATGGAGTTAACCCGCATTTGCGTTGCGTGGAGAGGAAAACCACGAGAATCTCCCACGGTTAGCCTGACGGCAAGGGGACTCTAACCCATGATCCGTCTACCACTGAAGACATTTCACGTCAGCACTGTGGTCGGTGCAAGCTGGATGCGGAATTCGTATCGACTGGGATTCGAAACCAGGTTCGCCACATTGGAAGGCGAACGCTCTATCCCCTGAGCCATCGCGGCTCTGGATCAAGTTTTGGGAGAAATTTGTCTTTATGGAGGGCTTTTTGATGAATTTAACCTGCATTTGAGTTACGTGAAGAGGAAAACCTCTCATGGTTAGCCTGACGTCAAGGGGACTCTAACCCATGATCCGTTTATCACTGAGGATATTTTTACGTCAGCACTGTGGTCAGTGCAAGACGGGTGAGGAATTCGTATTTCCCATCCATCGCTAGGTTTCGAATCCGGTTCAGTTCATTGGAAAGCGAACGCTCTATCCCCTGAGCCACCTTTACTCCAATAATTGTTATTAATCCCTTCAGGATTTGCAGATGGAGAAAGATGCTCTTCCCCAGGCTCGAAAACTCCGAGTTCAGACGCACCCTATTGAAGTTACGTCCATGCTATCTTGATGGATTGCTACTGTCAGAGGAGCTCGTTTCATATATGAAATTGTAGGCCGTGAACGGAAAAATGTACTATTAGATATATGAGATTCCGGGCTGGAAAGGATTAATTCTTACGGAATCGGAAATAGTTTGACAGGCGAGCGCACTAACACATGTATCATTCTGTCATATGATTAAAGCAGTTTTGAAATCACATATAAAATTTTTTTGCAGAATAGTGGTTGAAGAATCGGACATCGATCCGAAGGGTTTCATCCTTGACACTATTGACACCCACTGAGAACATGCGATATACGTGTTCTCAAAATAAGTGAGATAAAAAATCCTGTGGTCAGTCGATGAGCAGAACCAGGTGTACAGGGATCTTTAGAAAATTCCCCTTCATATCCATGTCTAAATTGTGGAAGTTGTCTCACGAATGTATGGTGGTTGCCATCTATTCCGAGCTCAGACGCTTCGGAGCTTTTGTCAAACGAAAGACGTACCTTTCTGATTTAATTCGCAAGGCCCAATTTCTGGAAAGTTTAACTTATTCAAGTGTCATCAAAAACAATGCTCTTAAGTTTGCTTTTGAATTTACTTTATCAGAAACAATGAAAGCATAAATAAAATTTTATGCCCTTCAGAATCTATATGCTATTAATTGTTTCTTTGATCCCAAGACAAAATAAAATGTCGTACCTTGCAAATGAGTACGGAAACGTAGTTTTGAGAAAATTTTGTGATTTATTAATCCATCTATAAGTACATCGATACAACCAGCGATGTTATTCCTTTATTTTATGAGATTAGATTTAATTTATGATTTTAGGAAAAATATTGTATCGTTCTTTCTGTTGATTTGTCCCGATTGTTCTGTTGATTTGTAGTGAACTGATCGTAAAGAGACGGTTCTCAGTCGAAGCATATAACTGACAGCGGTCAGTCAGCAGGTCGAGAGTGCACGGTATCGGTCCTCGTTAAACTGTTTTACCGTAAAGTGTTCGACTTCACATGCAGGTCATCGAGCTACCGAGGCCAGGGAGTCACCCGATGCAGAGGATCAAAATTGCGATGGCCCGTATTCGGATCATCCTCGTTGATGAGTCCCAGACCGTCGGCAATGGCCTATTACCCAGCTCTAGTGTGATGTAAATAAAGTACCTATATCTACTGTTGAATTATGTTGATCTGAACAATGTGGAACTAGAACTGAACAATGGGCTGTTGGCGACAGTCTAGGAAACATCCCTGAGAATGACCCGAAGACATGCCATCACAATTTTGTGAGACCACCTCCTCTATTTAGATATAGATCTGTAGGGGAAGGAAAATTTTTTCCAGATTCCTGTACCTATGCGGTGCTGTTCAGCACCTGACCAACACCTCCTAGAAAACAGTAGGCTTCAGCACGGGTTACCATAAATATCCTTTAGTAGTCCAAACGTAATGACATATTTCGTATTTATAACCACTGCGCAGCTTAGTACCCCGGACGTAATGACATCTTTCTTATTTTTCATCTACTGCGCAGTTAACTTCGCCACATCGGACTACTAAATTGATCCGTGCTGAGGCCTTCCTTATTCTAGGAGGTGACCCCAAGACTTCCAATTCCACAGATTTTACGAGAGCGTGTATTGCATGAGTCTTATAAGAGTCGGAGATCGAACTCCGGACTGGAGTCCTATTCTCTAACCACTGGTCTACCACGGCCTATTGAATTAGGTAAAAGTAACAAACACTAATAATGATTTTTAAAAAAATCCAGATTCTGGTAAATTTAAAGGTTTTCTTACTTTTTCGTTTCTTTTAACCACCACACATAGCTTTTAGCTCCGATTAATATTTATTACCAAAAGAGCACATTAAGTGAGGTGGGTTTTTTTAATATTGAGTTTGTCATTGTGTACTCGCATCCGTCTTTTTTCTAACACACCCCCCACACACAAAAAAAAGAAAAAGAAAGAAAAGCTTACTTTCCAGAATAAAATAATCCTGACCAACCAGGGATGAATTTTGGATCACGAAATACCCATAAAATCACCAATATTAGAAATAAGACCATCACTTCAGCTTCGTGGTACCTGAAAGCAATGAATAATCAAATCAGTAATTTTTGATAATTGGAAATGAAGATATAAAGTAAAAATAGACTGAATTCGCTAACTAAAATATACTAATGAAATCTTAAGTCTGAGAACTGAACAAATAATAGTGGGTTAGAGTATTCGTCAAATAATACAGGGTTAGAGGACTTAACAAATAAAAGGGGATTGGAGTACTCTGCAAAATATAGTGGATTAGACAACCATTCAAATGATAGGTGGCCAGAATACAGTTGGAAAACTAATCGCTTAATTGTAGGTTCGAGTATTGATGAAATATATTATAGGTTCAGGTACAGATAAAAAAGAGCGAAGTTCGAATCAAAGGATAATAAGTTCATGTTGTCAAATGATAGTGGGTTGGAGTATGAAACCCACCATAATTTTTATTGGTACTCAAAGAAAGTGGGTTCGAGTATAATAAAATACTGATATCGAGTAATGATCAAATGATTAGCGAGTTCGGGAACTGAAGGAGTAGGTTCGAGTAATGAATTAAATAAAAAATATTTGAACTGCAAATTATACAAATTTTCATCTCTTGCTTATTTTTAAATCGCAATATAAAAGTTGACAAAGAACTAGTCGAGGGATATTGTTCAAACTCATGATTTGTTTTCATTTATATTTTCATTAAATAAAATGCTGAAAAAGTTTGTGTACCTTACAACTCAAAGATTTTCCCCTGCATTATTAACTAAAGTAATGAGCTTGAAAAGTATTTTTTGTCTGGAATTATATTTCAATAAACAAGTTTCATTATTATGTGCTTATTTTTTTTCTCCAATCATTTAAATAGTTACAGAGTTAAAGTACACAGAAAGATAAATTCACATTAAGAGCGTGAAGTTTTCTAATCATCAAGTATTGGTCCTCGTTAAACTGTGCTACCGTAAAGTGCTATACTTCGCGTGTAGGTCGTTGGGCTACCGAAGCGGGGGTGCCATCCCCTCCACAGAGGATCAAATTTGTGATGGCATGTCTTCGGATCATCCTCAGGGATGCTTCCCAGATCGTCGCCAGTAGCCCATTGTGCAGCTCTAGTGCGACGTAAATGAACTACAACAACAACAAATCTAATCATCAAGCAAGTACAGTATAACCAGGGCATTGCGCTGTTAGTAAGGTGATGATTTAACTATTGTAGTCTGTAAATTGTGATTAAATTCTCTATCGTCGGGTCAGAGCGGTTAGAGGGTGTTCACTTTTCTAAAATTATAAAGTATGCTACGAAATATACCTGGTGTCCCAGAAATGTCTTAGGAAGCAAGAATTTTATTTTCACTCATTTTCACAATTAGTGACATAGTTCATCAACAGATGGCACTGATGAATGGAAAAACTTTAAAGCAATGTTCTTTGTTGTATGTCAGATCATTCAAAATCAAATTTTTTCACTGGAATCTGTAAGTTTTACACTTAAATTCCACGCTGTTCCTGCAAATTGCAGATATTTTAAAAACTTTGTTTCGCTTAGTTATCAGCACTGCCTGTACTATTCCACTAATTTCGAAACTGGGAATTAAATAACTGATTTGCTTAGCAAAACGCAGAAAACTAAATATTTTTTTTGATTGGTATTTTCAAATCTTGGGTCATTTGTTAGACATTCGATACAGCAGTTGTTATAATAATTAAGAATATTGCTCACTGTATGGATCCCAGCTCTGTATATCTCTTCGAAATAATTTCTTGTATAACTTCCTTTGAAGCTACTTTGTTGTCGGATTTTCTGGAGAAAGAAAAAACAGATTAAAAACTTTGAATTAGGATTAGGCTTATTTTCGTATGTATCAAACTTTTTGAAAAAAATAAAGAAAAGCCATTAAATGGTAAAATGTTGTTAGGTTTTATGGATGAAATATAATTGTTTCCGATCACAGATCATAAAACACAGTTCCTCGTAGGGCCTCATCATGTCAAGCATCATTGGTGGAATGATCACTTCGAAGAACAGTCTACGAAGGGACCAAAGGTACACTTTGTCGGTCAGCGTTTAACTCTTCAACCGTTAAGGTAAAGGTTAACGAGGGATCATTGAGCTACCAAAACGGGGTGGCTATCTACTCTCCCTTCTGCAGAGGATCAAAATTGTGGTGACTCGAAATGTTTTCCTGACCGTCGCCAATAGCTCACGGAGAAGATTTAGTGTAAAGAAAATTAAGTACTATTCTTATACGGAATGAAACATTTTATTACTACGTTTTTGAGAAAATTGTTTTCGAGTCAGTGTAGATGAAGTCTTGCATCCGTCGACCCTTTTCTGACAAGCTATAACATTTAAATATCTTCTGAAGTTCTTTGCCAATCATTTTTTTCACGCGGAATAAATCGCAGAGAGAAAATATGGTCATTTAAAATTTTAACCACTTTCCGACTAACTAGAATGCTCAAATTTCTATTGGAGCTGTCTATTTCATGGCAATGTGAATTGTAATCATTTCCTGATTCCTCCCTAGGTAGAAATTATTCCACTATCGTCTAATGCAGTGTTCCTCAACCCCCGGTCCGTGGACCGGTACCGGTTCGTGGATCTAATGGTACCGGGCAGCCCATTTCATTGAAACTGAATTTAAATTCCTAGGTTTATACCCCAAATTAAAAATATCTGTGTTCGATAAAAATTTTATTTATTTAAAAAAAGGCCCCCCGAAGGTAGTGACATAAATTGTTTAATGTTTTAAAACGATTACCCCCAGATGGAACCGTCTCATTGCAAAGAAACAAGCTCAGGGTTCTCATTGATTTACCGTTCTAGTAAGTTAAAATGTTAAATCACTTTATATTTATTTTTTGGCGCAACTGTATTTTATTTTAAAGGCATGTTTAAATAAAATTAAATTAAAATTAATAAGTCAAAATAATCTAAAATATAAACAATCAAAGCCCCCCCCCCCAGCGGGCAGTGGTAAAATTATCAAACGTTGACAGATCCGCGGTGATAAAAAGGTTGGGGAACACTGGTCTAATGGAATAATTTATAGTTAGTCGAAATTCTGACTATTTTGTTACTGACTAAAGTTCTTATGTTCCTACTGAAACTCTGTGCTTGAAGCCTATTCTGGTTAATTGTTGTTGTTGTTGTTGTTAATTTACGTCGCACTAGATCTGCACAATGGGCTATTGGCGACGGTCTGGGAAACATCCCGAAGGATGATCCGAAGACATGCCATCACAATTTTGATCCTCTGCGGAGGTGATGGCACCCCCGCTTCGGTAGCCCGACGACCTGCGCGCGAAGTCGAGCACTTTACGGTAGCACAGTTTAACGAGGACCAATACCGCACACCCTCGATCCCTACGCAGACTGATCCAAGTGGTCTCCCACCCGCACACTGACCGTAGCCAGTGATGCTTGACTTCGGTGATCTGCTGGGAACCGTGTCTTAACAATCAGTCCACTGCGGGACCTATTCTGGTTAAAATGGTTCTTAAATGGTACAAGCTAAATTCAGTTGATATTTGACTATTTTTTTCGGCACAAAACGTATACAAAACTTACAAACAAAACACAAAAGTATACAAAACTTAAAAGAAGGAAGTAATAAAATAAAAATTAAAAGAATTACGTTCTTCAAGTGAACTAAAAAGGAGATAATATTTTTTTTTCAGATCTGAAATGAAAAGTCCATCACTTTCGTAATAAACTTCAATCACCATCGAAACTTCATTTTTTTTAAAAATTGTACCCTTTGTTTTAAAGTTGTATTACGACAAAAATGAAGGCATTTTCTCTCTTTAAGTTTATTTAAGAAACGTACTTATTAAAAATGTCACATAAGTTTGTTATTCATATTTTTCCCAAACCCAATTCTGCATAGAGAAAGCAAAAGGAAGATCAGAAAATAAATAAGTTTTAAATCAATTTAAAACTTCAAATATATATTTATTTATATTTCAAAAAGTAGTTTTCTTTGAATTATTGCAAACTTAATATTCAAAAATGAACACAAAATGTTTAGTCCTAATAACACAATTCTTTAATAAGTTTGGGGTTTCCAAAATCACTTGCTTATTTTAAACTTTAAAACGTTTTTGAGAATGTATGATTTTGTTCTGAAACTATGACAGAATAAATTAGAAAATAATAACTTATAAAACTAATAAAGAATTTAGCAATAAAATTCTAAATGACAAGTTAAGAAAAATTTTTCGAATAAAATGATCTACATATAACATATATATTAAATTTTCCATTGCTATTACGATCTTACGATGTACTTTGTATGAGGAAATATCTTGAATTGTTTGTTTAATAAGTTTATTTCAAGAGCAGAAACCATTTTATATATCATCTTGCTAAATCGAGCAAATAAATGAAGAAAAAAATATGTGAATCAGTTTGTAAATATTTAGAAAAGTTTGTAAATCTATAATTTACGAATTTGTTTGCAAGCCTATAATCTTAACAGCTGCAATATGTTTAGGGTGATATAATTGTGACTTCATTACCAGAAAAATTAGATTAAAATTATTATATGCATCGAAGAATCGTAATATGAGTTATAATTAAATAAAAAAAAATTCTACTCACGAGCACTTTATGTATACCATCCACAAGTAGAACCATCCAATCAAAACGCACAATACCATTCCTGGTATGTTGTACATCATCCATGATGCAAATGTTACTTCCTTACTCTTGGGATGAAGCCTAGAGTTGAAAAATGCATGATACAAAATAATAAGCCATAACTATGGAAAAACACCTTCTAGGAGAGAGAAGGCCTCCGCGCAGATCACTGCAGTATTTTGAGTATAAACTGAGCAGTGTTTTTTTTAAAGGAAGTTGTCACAACCTTCGGGCTACTAAACTGCACAGTGGGGCTTATTAAGAAAGATGTCTCACCATTCCGACTTCTGATTGAAATAACGGATTACTTATTTATGGTAACTCGTGCGAAGGCCTTCTGACTTCTTGTAATTGTTGATCCTTAAGTAATAAAATAATGAGTTTGCATGTCTGTGTCTCTACAAAACAGTTTGTGAACTGAAACTGAAATTTGGTCAACGTGTTTAAGGAAAACTTGTAGCTTCCAATCCTAAGAATCATTCAAGAGGGACGGGGATCATTCACAAAGAACCAGTATGACGCATTGTTGCTACACAAACTGTAGCACCGTTTCCTTTTCATTATAAAAAATACGACATCAGTTGTACTTACTAGCATAAAGCTCTGTTTAATCAAAAACGAGATCTAAAGGGGATTTATTGCAAGTTTTTTAAAAATAAATTTTCTTTAATTCATTTTGTCATGCAAGCATAAGTAAACTCAATGCAAATGTCATATGAGGACAACGGCCCAGAATTAGTTTTTCTTAAACTATCTGGTCCCGCAGTGGACTGATCGTTAAGACACGGTTCCCAGCAGATCACCGAAGTCAAACATCACTGGCTGCCATCGATTCAAGCAAGGACAAATGGCTAAAGTGTAATTAACCGTAAGTGAAACGTTACAAGTGAAATTTACCGACGCAGTTCTGGTACAAATGTATAGTACCTTTCAAAAAGTAATTGCAATCTTAATTTGGCAAAATTTTAGAAAAAAATTAGCTCTTATATTTCATTAGATGAACTATAAATGCTCTTTTAGAATTTTGAGCTGTTTTATTACTCACTTACAGAAATTTTTTTTTGAAATTATGCCTTTTTTATAGCCATTAATGTAATCCCTTAATGTAAACATGTCGCTCTATTTTAATAATTTTTATTAATTTCGAAAATATTTTATGAAATTCTATTTTATTTAAATAGAAAAAAAGAAAATCAGTTAAGGTTTCATTTTTTGACTGTACGCAGTGTAGGTGTCCCTAGAAATGAAAATTTAAATTTTGTCAACTACATTAAAAAAGATAATCTTACTCTTCTAAGAGTCCTTTGAAGACTAGATTTGGACCTGTTCCAGTAAGAGTACCCGTTCCTCCAATATTGGCAGAGTAGCAGATACTGAGTAGAAGTGCAATTTTAAGTGTACTGGATCGTTGCAAATTACCCCTAAAATAAAATCAATTTCTGCGTTAGTTTCTATATGATATTTCATAATTAAATAAATATAATATATTTTGGTAAGATTCTTTCTCAAGATATATAAACCGTGATGAGGCGATAAAAATGAGTGTTTTTTTTCTTAATATTATAATTTAGGTAGATGTTTAATATTGAAAACAAAAAATACATTTCGCTCATTTGGTGAAACAATGACGTAACTGCAAAATCAAGCTACGTCATTGTTTCACCAAATGAGCGACATAAAAAATATTATTTTTCCTTTGAAAAACAGCGACCAATGGCAAAAAAGGATAAATTCGAGATCATTATTTATTTATTATTATTTTTTTAACATCTCTTTCGATATTTTAGCGGGAATAGAGTGTTCTATATATCGCTCATTTGGTGAAACAATGACGTCATTTGATTTTGCAGTTACGTCATTGTTTCACCAAATGAGGGATTCATAGGCTGGAGAATATTTTTAAAACAGTATTTTATTATGGAAATTACGACAAAAATGCAATTATTAAAATAAAAAGGCACTAATGGATTTTTCGCTTCTTATTACATTTTAATCTGTTTTGTTTCAATATTAGTTTGATATAGATGATGTCCCATGCTTATTGGGGTGAACTTTAAAAGGGAGAGGCAGGGGAAATCACAAGGACTATGAATTGCGTAGCAACCCATGATCGGAAACGTCATGGAAAAGTAGCACGGCAGGTATAAGAAACAAAAAGACACAGGAGTCAAATAATCTGAAATATTTATAGTCAAATATATTACATGCGTTGTGGTAGCTGATATGTGAAAATGTCACAAAAGATGTCTTCACCACTGCTTGCGATGCATGCGTTACTTTGTCGAATCGTGGAACTTGCTCAAATACATCTGGATGCCAACCAGATCCATTTTGGTATTTAATTGGCATCAAACAAAACATTAAGTATAAAGCAGGTGAAAATTCAACTGAAGTGCATATATTGTTATTAGATTTAGGAGATGCTTCAACATGCCGCATTTAGCACTTGTTTAAGATCGAACGAAAACTGAAGTGATAATTTAGGGAATATTCCTACCGAGAAAAACCGTGATAAAAAGGCAATTCATGAAGAAAAAAAAATTGTCTTCTAACTACAGGTGCTGAACTTTCGTTCCTCACCCTCGGAAGATGCCGGTTGTGTTGCTCATTTAACGTTACTCAGTGGGCACCTGTGAACCTAAGTCACGGAGGCGAGTAACATTACTCACGCCACAATGCCACAAATACCCGTTTATAGGGTGGGCCACATTTCCACATCACACACAACATACATGGAGAGAAATATCCATGACCAGAACGGGATTCGAACCCGCAGCGATTGGCTTCGCCATCAGGCACGCTAACCGCTCGACCACCTGGACGGCAATTCATGAAAATAGAAGTGGGAGATAGATTCTTTTTTTCTTAAAACATTGATTTTAGTATTTGTTAACTGTATATAAATACAAACAGGAAAAAATAGAAAAGTTTTACTTACTCTGCTCCTGAAGTTTCTTCCTCATTAAGGGGATCCACCTGTTTACTCTCTGTTAAAGATGAATCAGATATATCTATGTGGAACAATGTAAGAGATTAGTGAAAGAGAGACATTTGAAAGATTTATGCAAAACCAGCTTCTGAATGTAAAAAAGCACAAAAGCTGCGTCATGGTATTGCAATTTTCATAAGCATGAGTGCCGATTGCGAATGTTGCACCATATCATGTAAGTTTAGTTGAATATATAACACAATTTACATCTTGAAATGTGAGGGAATGCCATTCTCCAAGAAAAACATGTTTGGTTTTATTTAATTGGGTGGATGGTTAAAAGGAAACTGAACACAGAAAACTAGATAAAAAGCGTCTTCAAGTACAGTGCAGAACCTCTTATCCGGAAATCGGAAAACCAGATAACCGGAATGAAAGTCGGAACCGGAAATTATTTTTCTTCCATTAAAAAAATTTTTTTCTTTTTTTTGCAAGATTTTGAGCCCATTTTGTTATTTAGAGCGTACGGAGTATCGAGTTGACGAAAGAACTGATTTAGAGGACGGATCAAAAGCCGTTTGTAGACAAATCTCACATAAGCACAAATAGCTCATATATGTTATTAATGTTAATAATAACATTAATAACGTATATAAGCCTGTATATAATTTTATTTCATAATTTCTTTCCTTATTTAAACTTAAGTGTATTATTGTTTTCATTTTTTATTATTTCTAAAACTATTTAAAAATTATTTTTTCGTTTCGTTTTATAAACATTAAAAAAACGGCATATTGTAGCGATTCAGAAAACCGGAAAAATCAGTTATCCGGAATCGCGATGGTCCCGATCGTTCCGGATAATCAGTTCTCCACTGTAATTAAACTGTACAACCAAAATAAGGAATTTATTAAGCATTTTGAGTTAAATCTTTGTCCAACTTGCATTTTAAACAAAATAAATACCTTTTTTTATTTAATTTTTGATGAAGAATAATACATACTTTGATCACATTTAAACTGTAGGTTGTATAGATTTAATAATAGATTGTATTTAATAATATGTATTTTGTTTGATTTTTTATAATGTAAACTAACTAACTCCCCGGCATTATAGTCCATGCTGGACCATGGCCTCACTAACAATTTTCCTCCAAAGTCACCTGTCTCTAGCTCTTTGTTTCCAGTTTCGGACTTTAAGAGTCTTAAGGTCTTTTTCCACCTCGTCAAACTGTCTTTTGACCGGCCTTCCTCTTTTCCTTTGGCCCTGGCCCTGGCACTGCCCCTAGATTATCTTCTTAGTGTCTCGGTATCCCTCCATTCTCTCAAGGTGTCTTAGCCATCGAATTCTCTTTGCTTTTACATAATTTATTATATCCTTTTTTTTTAATAGTCTTGCAAACTTTGATCGTATTTAAACCGTAGGTTGTATAAATTTAATAATAGATTGTATAGGTTTAATAATAAGTATTTTGTTTGATTTTTTTTATAATGTAACTGCATTTTATCACAATTTTGATAAAATGTAGTTAAATTATAGAAAATGAAACAGTCTCATTTGTGGTTTTAACTGCTTGGTCTGTAGTTTTCGTTGTTATTATATAACAATAAAAGCTAAATAGCATTTAAAAAGGGCTTTTTTGTTTTTAACGAAGGATCAGTATGACTGCAAACTAATGAAATGTTACTCACTAATGGACCTCCTTTCCTCCAGAGGAATGTTTTGATCCACTGGATTGGTGATTTTTGAGAGAACAGCTTCGACAATGGGGACCATCATTGCCGCTGTTGCTGTGTTGCTCACCCACATTGATAGAAACATCGTCGTCAGCATAAATCCCAGCATCAGCCTGCGTAAAAGAAGAGAGGAATACAATTCTGCTTGTAAATATGTTGGATACTTCTACATAGACTTCTTCAGAAAATATGTATTAAATTATCTGCAAAAACACATACTTAACACCTTTCTGTAAAATTAATAGTTAAGAAAATAAAAATGGGATGAAGAAGTATTAAAATTAAAATGCTTATAATATTAATTTACATAACAGTTTTAGTTACACAGTTGAGGTTGTCCTAAATTAGACGGATGATTTTCAAAACTTTATAAATGGAAAATACTTAAAATTAAAAAGTCAATTTACAATTAGAATGGTGTGCAGTTTCTTAACTGTTTCTGTTTTCAATGTAAACGACGGGTGTCCTACAAATGGCTGATAGATTTTGAAAATCAATAAAAAAATATATAAGCCTTGCAGCATTTTGCTTGAGAAACTAGCCTTTTTTCTTCCTACAAATTACACATTTAGTTAAACTTCCTACCAATAGGTGGAGCTACAGAATAGGCATTACCAGAATGTGGTCTGTACACGGTTGTGGCCACGTTTGGGATACTACAAAAAGATGAACATGCGTTCTAACGATGATGAAACGGGTAAACCGTCATACAAATCCATGACGTAGGTTTTCTGACTGATTGCAGACAATACCGACTGGGGGTGTCAGGAATTAATTTTCTCTTCTATTTGCAACGATAAACGTTCAACTTCAGTTCACAATTCTTTGAAATAAAACAGTAACACTAAGAAGAAAAATTGATGCTCTGAAGCATGAATTTGTTTTTAAAAACTTTAACCGTTTTCGTGTTGCAAATAAGAGACTCCTGTCTTGTTTAGGATATCTGCATTAAAAATAATTCTTTGCAACATATTTTATTTTTAAAAAAAAGTTTTGGGGAATAAATGCTGAAGTAATTTTTTTTTAAAAAATTGGTCACGAATAAAGCTTAGAAAAAATGTAATTTTAAATTTACAATATTTGTATATGTATAATGGACATATTTAATTACGTGCAATTAAACAAGGTTATAATTAGCACTTTCCAGAATTTTATGATACTTTCCATCATTAGAAATTTTTTTATTTGTATAACTGGCACAAATATTATTTTTTTAGTATAAAAACTTATTGTCAAACAGGCTACACCGAAAGAAATGTATTTTTCTACGTATTAGAAGATTGAAATATTTCCAAATTTTTCTAAATAAAGTTAACAATATAAGAAGGAAAACACGTTAAAAGTTTTATTTTCACTTACCATTTAATTTCAGTACCAATGAGTAGTAGAGTTTTTAAAGCAATCCTTTCGTGTAACCTGCATTCTTCTACGGCAATAGCCATAATTAAGCCCCCAATAAACATCATGTGAGATTCCTTTTTTAAAACAAAAGCAAAGAAAATGTTTAATCATTAAAACAAAATCAACATTGAATTGAATGTTTAATCATTCAAACAGTTTTTTTAATGTTACGTAACAGCATAATGTTATGTAACAGAATGTAATGTTATGTTTTGTAATGCAACAGCATTAAGTAGAAAAGAATGTTTAATCTTTCAAACAAAATAAGCATTAAATGAACTAGCATGTTTCATTTAATTTTTAATGAAATCATAATTAAATATCTGATTTTTCCAAAACAAACTAAGCATTTAAAGGAACGTTATGTTTAATTTTTCAATCAAAATCAACCAAAAATTAAGTAATTTGTTTGATTTTTAAACATAAGCAGGCATACATAGCTTAAAATATTAAAATATTTTCACGTTTAATGTATACATAACAGAGCACGTGTTATTAGTTTTATTATTCTTGTTTTGCATTCATATGTCAATATTTTACTGCTCACATATTATTAATTTATATATTATTTATAATTTACCTATGAATTGATAATAATAATTTACCTATTTTCAAAAACCGTAGTCTACCAAATTAGTTTATAGTTTATGTATAGCACAAAATTGTGCTATACAAAAATTTATAACTGGCAATATATTTTTTAAAAAAAAGGAATATTTGAAATAGAAAATTAGAACAACCTTTTACTAAAAATAAATTTTTATTTGTTTATTATTATATTTAATGCATATTAAGACTTTTATTTAGGTGGAAACAGCAGTTAAAGTTGTTAAAAATTCGGAAGTTATTTCTAAAATATTCCAATAAAAATATGATGGTATTTTTTAAATTTTTTTAAGTTTTACGGAAAAGCAGTTTTTAAGCTGCCAAGTACACCAAGTACGCCAAGTACTTCCAGAATTTCAGCTATAGGTTTATGTAACTGCCAACATGGATAGGAAAAAATGTAGTAGTTTTCACGAAATATAAATTTTATGATAACTGTGCCATTAATATACTAAATATTTTTACCCATAGGTAATTTTAGGGATTTTTATTCTAATCAAAAGACAAATATTTTATTGCAATTAACTATTATAAATGGTCTGCAATATTTTCCATTTACGATTGATATTAAATTTACTTTAATTTTAAATGTTTTTATTATGTTAACTCATAATTTTGAACGCTAATAAACGAGAAATTTATTATTGATAGTTGAAAGATTTTTAAAGAAAAATTAGTTTAAGAGGAGAATTCTGAATAAAAATAAGATGAAAATTTTAGTACCAAAAAAAGAAGAAAAAACAACTATTCACATACAAAATTAATCCTGTGTGTTGCTTAAAAATCTACTTCTTATTTCTATTTGTAATTCAATACTTTTGTTTTGTACAACTTGATAAAAATCTGACAGTAATATTTAATGTTCCTTCGAACATAAAAGAGTCCTATGTAAAATTTTGATAAAGTTGCTGCCCAACATTTGACTGGTGTTTTAATTGCGGCTCCCGGCCTCATGTAAGTTGGAAACATCTGTTTTATACCAATATGATACTTTATGGAAATAAGTAATTACACACTTGAAAATTAGACTGAGCTACACTTAACGAAAACAGAATTACATAGCCTCTGTTACTTACACTCATTCAGTACTCTATGGTTTGTACTGATATCATAATTTATGATAAAAAGGTAGATACACATAAGCTTACGACTTAGCCCGAGACTGGGTTCGATACTGGCTCGGACCCATGATAAAATTTTGATAAACTTTTTTTCTCTTTGCTAAACATTTTTGCACTCTTTCGGGGTTGGAGAGCGTTAGCGTGACGGGGGCGGAGCCTCCAAGTTTAGCGTAGTTCTTGTGTGTATCGCAGTACTTTCTATCAGAAACATTAAACATTTCTTTCCCTTTTTTAGTCATTTTATCATATGAGCCGTGATGGCNCGTAAGTGGGGACAATTGTAACAAGTGCACGACTGTCAAAAATTGTTAATAACTAATATAATAACATTTAAAATAAGGTATTTGTTTTTTTTCTAGTAGAGAATAGTCCACTTTACTCGTCTGTCAATTAATACTAATAATATATTGGATTTTTTGTTAGTTAAAAATAGTTAAGTAAAAAATGTTACAATTGACCCCACTCTCCCCTACTCTATGGTTTGTACTGATACCATAATTTATGATAAAAAGGTAGATACACATAAGCTTACGACTTAGCCCGAGACTGGGTTCGATACTGGCTCGGACTCATGATAAAATTTTGATAAACTTTTTTTCTCTTTGCTAAACAATTTTGTACTCTTTCGGGGTTGGAGAGCGTTAGCGTGACGGTGGCGGAGCCTCCAAGTTTATCGTAGTTCTTGTGTGTATCGCAGTACGTTCTATCAGAAACATTAAACATTTCTTTCCCTTTTTTAGTAATTTTATCATATAAGCCGTGATGGCTCATATGATAGAGATTTCGCCTTCCAATGTGGTGAACCGGGGTTCAATCCTGGCTATGACTGGTCGATACGAATTCCGCATCCGGCTTGCACCGACCACAGTGCTGACGTGAAATATCCTCAGTGGCAGACGAATCATGGGTTAGAGTCCCCTTGCCTTCAGCCTAACCGTGGGAGGTTCGCGTAGTCTTCCTCTCTATGAAACGCACATGTCTCTATGTAACGCTATGTTCATCAAAAAAATCCTCCACGAAGGCAACATTTCTCCCAATACTTGATCCAGGAGTTCCCCTGCCTTCTAGATTGGATTGAAAATTACAAGGCTACTGAGTTGAACATTAAAAGTCCTAAGCCCCAAAATTGGGTCGGCTGTTCAACGACGGTTATAAAATATAAAAATAATTTTATCCCATGCATTTTTCATATAATTAATTTATAATTATGTAGTTTTCATTTTTTAAGATATATTTTTAAAACTATAATATTTGTTTAGATTTTTTTTTCTTCTGTTCTCAGTATATCCTTATACTAAGAACAGAAATTATCCAACGTATATCTCGGGCGGCTCCGGCAGACTCGGGCTCTAAATAATCCTTTGTATACCAGGATCGGGTGGGCTCGGAATAAAATTCCTCTGTCCCGAGTTGGTCCGAACCTCCAAAAGTGAACCCAAATTTTTCTCAAATACAAACATATGAAAGCTATACAGAACTACACATACATATTGGCAGAATAAAATAGCCTATGTTATATAGGTTCATTTGGCACTTAACATAGGCTTATATAGAATTTGTTAATTTTCTGGTTTGTTAATGGTTTACTTACTTTCAAATAGTTTAAACACACATCTGCTGATCCAACAATATTTAATACTGGCAAAAGAAACACAGGTAGAAGAGCAGTCATAAATATTGATATCGGTTCTAGGAGCCAATAACATGCAACCAATATTATCACATAGGAACATCTTGTCTCCTAAATAAAAAGGATACAGCAAGAAATAAAAATTGGTGAAATTGGGGTGTAGATTGAAAGGAAATCGAATTGTCTTGAAAATTATAGAGAATACCTTCATTCAGCAGCAGATTGATAATGATTGAAGCATGGCCTACTACTATAGTACGATTTTACAAATAGTAGTACTATCTATACATACATACAATACATACATACAATACATACATACAATACATACATACAATACATACATACATACAATACATACATACAATACATACATACAATACACACAATACATACACACAATACATAGTAGTACGCCATAGATTGAAGAATATAATGATGAAATATTGATTATACTATATTGCGTGTAAAGTTCAGGTCAAACTTTTAAGTATGAGTTTATAACGCTTTTTATCGAATATACCATTTTTATGTTAAGTGTTTGAAACAGTTTGTGTGGAAAGACCTTCAGACAATGCCAACTTTCATCTATCAAAAGGTACCTCAAGATTGAATCAATTTAGCATGTCTGATGGTCTCTCCCCACATTGGTGACCCGGACGTGATTTGGTATTTAATATTTATAGTAGTAGTTACGCCACAAGTTAATCGCCACTGTTAAGTTTTGTTTACCTTTAACCAACACTTTTTATGATAATTAGGAAATAATTTAAAAATATGAATCTGAAAAACTGCCACAGTTTTAAATGCATTTCTTTAATTTTTGAAAAGCAACTTTGTTGCATAAACTGAGCTCATAAAATATGGAAAAATTTGGAGAATTACTCATTTACTTTAATGATTTTCATCTGGGCAGAGAGGGAGATATCGCTAAATTGTTGAAGTTTTTAAATCATTTAAGTGGGGTTTTTTTTAAATCTTATTCATCAAGGAAAATTAAAAAACCACAGTTTAAGTGCCTTAAACTCTAAGCAAAACTATTTTTAAAACTATAATTATTATCTTGCTGTAATAAATAATTTTCATTTTAGAACGATCAGATAACTTAAACATTTGAAACTTTTTTAAAAAGAACTCCAATGTGGGGAGATTTCTCCCCTTAGATTGAAATTATTAACACTAAACATATCATAACCGGTCAAAAGACCGGTTTTTGCATGTTGCATTGTACTGTGTTGAAAAGTGTTGGTATGTTTAGTGTTAAAATCAATGAATAATTCACAATGTTTGCAAACGTTTATGAGTCGTGACAATATTGCGGAGTAACTTATCAAACGCTAAAAATTCATATCCTAAACTCTTTTTATTTTCGCAAAAGTGTGGTATTCCTTGATATCGATATTTTGGGCCATTTTCGCAATCACAGTATATATGACGCTTGCTAAAGTTTGGCAAATCTTAATCTAACAGTCATAAATAACTAACACAAACTCAGAGCAGTTTTAAAACTGACAATTCACTGACAAACGTTAACGACAAAGACATCGAATTACAGCCTAAAGTTATTTGTTTGTTTTAAAATCCAAATTTCATATAATATTAAAAAACATTTAGATTTTTAAAATTATGAGAAATTCCATAGGAGCATCGACCTTCGAAAAAACGACAAAAATATAATATATAATATACGACAAAAATATAAAAAAAGGACAAAAATTTATCTATGTAATAGAATTTGTGCTAAATGGTGCATAAAACATTGACAACTGAGATGAGCGATTTAAAATTTTCAATATTTTTTATTTTTATTTTTAAAAAAAGAGACAAATTTTGCATTGTGTTCAGATGCCTCTGAGAGCAGCACATCAATAGTTGGTGGGCAGCAGGTTGTGCTCTTCTAATAAAAAGTTATGTTTTTCAAAATATAGAATAAGTTATTTGTGAAAATAAAAAAAATAAAAAATTTTTTAAATAAAATCTGTGATTGATCGATTGATTGAATGTAGAGGTTTTATGGCACAAGATCCAAAGGAGGATATGCTGCGCCAAAATAAAATCTGTGCTAAATGGTGCATATTTTGGCGCAGCATATCCTCCTTTGGATCTTGTTCCATAAAACCTCTACATTCAATCAATCAATCAATCAAAGATTTTATTTAAAATTCTTTTTATTTTCACAAAAACTTATTCACAAATAACTTATTTTCGATATTTTTTTTTATTTTTTAAAAAAAGACAATTTTTTCATTGTGTTCAGATGCCTCTGAGAGCAACACATCAATAGTTGGTGAGCCGCAGGTTGTGCTCGTCTAATAAAAAGTTATGTTTTTCAAAATATAGAGTACGTTATTTGGGAAATTTTCATTATTGCGACATAAAAATCAATCAAATTTCTCCCTTTTAGATTGTTACCGATTTAACTAATCTCATTTTATGTAAACAATACAAAAAACATACATGATATAATATAATCTCTAAACACTTTAGCAGAACTCTAAAAACTAACTTACTGGTAATGAAGATACAGCTAACGGTGATAGTATGAATGGCAACAATATACAAACTACGTAAACGCAAACTTTTCTATTTAACCGTTCGGAAAGAGTATCCCAAATTGACATAATTTGTAACGAATAGAAAAAATATTAACAATAATTAATGTTAAATAGTTTAATACGTTATCATAGTTTATTGCGTTAGAATAGTTTAAGACGTTTCGGTTCTTAACTTTCCGTAGTAAAATGGAACTTTCAAGTTCGCAATCTAGTGTTGTGAATCGATAATGATGCAACATATTAGTGGAATTTTTCTACGTGTATGAAGCTTTTTGGAATGAAAAATATCGTAAATGATGAGATGGTGTCTACGCCGAAGGATATATAAATGTTTTGACATCGTTGATTCGGAGATATTTTAAATAAAATAAACATAGAAATATTTATTTCAGTTTTTATACGCAAGCTAATATTGGACATCATTTTATTTTACATTCTTGTTGAAATAAATGAGACAAGATGTTTATGTAGGCGAGCGATAAAATTTTTTTCCTCAATAAACAATCTTTATCGGCATCCTTCTTAAAAAAGCTATCGTTGAAAGCTGTATCACAAATTATAGGTTATTAAAAGTATTTTATTTTTTAACAGACTGTTCATTCGATCAGTGAGTAGTCGATTTATTAATTTGCTTAACCCCTTAACAATCGGCTAATTTTCAGGAAAACGGTGTCTATTTTTTTATCCCTGAAAATTATATAAAAATATGTGTATGAACAATGTGTATTCATTTTTAACTTTTGATTTGTTTTTAGCTTGAAATTTTAAAAAAATTAAATTTTTAGGAAAACCCAACAATGACTTAATGTTGGTTTTCCAGCAAGCAAGGAAAATTAAAAAAAAATATGTGTTTTAAACATTAAGAAAGAATTTTATTAAACTTACGTATAATATGAATAAAGATTAGTAATTTTTTTTGTGTGATAAATTTCAAAGCATGAGATATAGAGGCCAACGTCACAATCCGGGCCAGGGGTTTCCAAGTTACAAGATGTTTATGTAGGCGAGCCCCAATTAAAAGCGCAAATCAAATGGCGGGCTGCAACTTTATCAAAATTTTATGTAGGACTCGTTTATTTTTGAAGAAACAATAAGTATTGCAGTCAGATTTTTACCAAGTTGTACAAAATAAAAATATTGAATTACAAATTAAAATGAGAAGTAGATTTTTAAAAATATTTAATTGCATATTGAAAGCTTCGGGCTACAATAACTTTAATGTGCCCTTATGTATTAAACAATTAATGTGCAACAGATATCTAATTGTTTAGATATAAAACTTTAAAAAGGTTGGTATTAAAACGTACATAGTAGTACACAAAATGTTCAATGAGAAAATTGAGGTTTGTCTGCTGCAAACACCAGAGAATAGATATTTACATTTCAAATTTAAAATTTACAAATGTGTGCGTAAATGTTTTCGTCCAAAGTGAGTGGTTTCAAAAAGTTAAATTCGGAGAATTCCTTCCAGAAAATTTCTGATATGCCCGTGCTAAATTATATTCACAAAATAAAAAATAAAAATTAAATAAAAAAGAGAAACATACACGATTATTTTTGTATTTGAATAAATATTTTCTTGGATGCAAAACCTGAGACATAAATTTTTTTGCACCGTTGGTATGTTAAATTTCACAGAAACGAAGAAATTAGGTTTTTATTAACGAGAAAAGTATTTCTAACCCATATAGATTTTGTACGAAAACTGTCAGCAGAAAAAATAACGACTAATATATTTTAGTTCGCGGGCCACAAAAAAAAAAGACTTCGCGGCCGGAAGCGGCCCTCGAGCAGCCAGTTTAAAACCACTGATCTAGACAATAGTACCGAGTTTCCTTCTCTTATTGTTTTCATCTCTTCTGGATCAACAAACTTTGCATTCTCTTGATGGTTCTATCTACAATTACCTTAAAAATATCCTGGTGCTGTCATCTGGTGTGTAGAATGAGAAATAAAATGTTTTCCGGCAAAAGAAATTAATTAGTTTTGTTCTTATTGGCGCATTACTACTGAGCACTCCAGTCCGGAAATATCACGAGAGCGAGAAGGAAGGGGTTAAGAGCCAATTCTTCATGAGTCAGACAGGATCGTTATACTTGAAATTTTTTAAATTTTTAGGATATGTTCTTTACGTAAAACAATTCGTCACCTATTTTATTTTCACGAAAAATTATTTTTTCTCTCCGAGTTCTGAGGAGTAGAAACTGAAAAACCCTCTGGAATTTTGAGAAAGGCATAAATTTACAGGCCGCAATAATTTTCGTGAAATGCCTGACCACTATTTCGTATCCTGCTACTTCTTAATTAACTATTAAAACATAAATGTTTTCAGTGGACCTGTGCCTCGAAGGTCAAAGGCCGCTCTAAAATCTTCGAAGTAAAGCTGTTTTATTTGACTTGGAATCATCAAAATCTTCTTGTGGCCATACAGTGAACAATAAAGGTGTATACTTTGGAAATGCGTACTATTGAACAGTATCTGAAAAATCAACATATGAATGGTGTATGTATGATGTGATCTTAAAGTAGAACGGTCATAAACTGCCTTCGCAAAAACTGAATAAGTATAAAATTTACTGTAAACGAAGCCTTAAATATAGCAGAAACAAAACAAATTCACAGATCTATGGTTGCTGATCCAACTTTCATATGAAATTGCCCTAAACCTCGAAGACCGTACCTGAGTAACTGAATCATTTACTTACTCTCTCCTGCACTTATTCACTCTCTTTACCAAGAATTATTACTCGATTGATCGGTAGTCATAGAAATGAAAAATATCAAATGATAAATGACGATTCTATCCTGAAAAGCAGCTGATTTAAAAGTAGCGGTATTTTATTCGCAATAAACCATCACTTCTTAGAAAAGCAAAAGCGAATATTGCTCTTTTTAATCAAACTGAACAAATAAAACTTGGTTTGCATCAAAATCAAATGCATTTTAATTTGCAAAAATTACAGTGGTATTTTATTCGCAAAAAGCCATCACTACTTTAAAAAAAAAGCAAATATTGTTTTTTTTTAAAAATTAAACTGAACAAATAGAATTTGGTTTGTATCAAAATTTAATGCATTTTAATTTACATAAGAACTAAAATAATTTTTTTTAAATATGAAAGCTATCTTAAGACTATAAATGTATCAGTACTTTTAAAAAGTAACATAAATGTTTATTTTTCTGAATTTAAAATTATTTTGAATTGTGTATGTAATTCTGAAAGTGAACAAGCTGATTTACAAATCATACTGGGTTTCAGAAGTTCCCAGTAAAAATAATCGAACCACAGTCTTTCACATTTCACAGCTCAGTGTCTAAATCACTGTACCATCGGGGTTCAAATTTTTAATATGAAATATTAAAAATAAATTGTTAATTTTTTTTAATAACGGCAAGCACTGAACTTTCGTTCTGTTATGCCGGAAGTGTTATTCATTTATCATTACTCCGCGGGCACCCGTGAATCAAAATCACAGAAGCGGGCAACATTACAGCCTCCAAACTACCACAGAGACGCTACGCTACAGTCGCCACGCAACGCTACAGTCGCCACAATATTCCAGCCCAGTAGTAGACGGATAATGGGAACTAAACGTTTGGAGGGACGTTTTCCTCTCCATGTAACGCAAATATGGGTTAGTTCCCTCAAAAAATCCTCTACGAAGGCAAATTTCTCCCAATACTTAACTTAGTAATTCCCTTGTTTTCCTGATTGAGTACAAAATTTCAAGGCTACGGAGTTAAACATTGGTAGCCGTAAACCCAGACTTGAGTCGGTTGTCTAAACGACAGTTATAAAATAAAATAGATATACTCTGAGGATACTTGAAATCAAAAAGTCAGTTTCTTATTTTAAAAAATGTCAGCCCAAATGTTTTGCCTAAAACAAAATTAAAATATTTTTTTTATCAGCGCATTGTGAACTTAGATCAAATAAAATCCTGGAGAAGAAATCAATTTTTTAAAATTTTAAATTTGAAATAAATCTATCAATAATATACTTCAAACTTTTAAATACTTAAAACCTTTAAATATTTACAACAATGCTTCACATGAAACGTTTGCAACAATAATAAGCTATTACAGAAACATAAAAAAAATTATGTCTTGGACATTATTTTAACAATCAATAGTTCTCTTTAAGACATTGTTGCAAAAATGTAAGTATCTGATTATAATGCATTAAAAACTCATTCTTGTTTGAGCTTTCTCAAATGCGGTTTGTGTTTTGCGATTAAAAAAATCCTATTGAGTTATAATTATGAATCGAAGCGATTTATATCGTTTTGCTGTGTTGAATAACTGGCGGAAGGAAAGGGAAAAATATCCCAGACCTAATCGTAAGCATAAAGCGTACTTTTTGTAATTTTAACTATAGTTAGATATCTAAATAGAATTCTGCTAAAAGCAATCTAAAACTTCTGTCTAGTAATCAGCATATTTTACGGAAACTTAAATTTTGATTAAAGATAGAGAAATCGTTAACATAAACTAAAAAACTCTTTATATATTATAAAAAATATTTTGTTTCAAAATTTTTCTCCGCAATTGTTTTGGCGATTTCAATGGCACTTCAGTTGTATTATTCTGTTGGCAAAGAGACAATGTAAGTCACATGATAAACAGGAAATGAAACTGTACAGAATGAAACAACTAATTGTTTTGGCGATTTCATTGGCATTTCAGTTTTATTACTCTTTTGTCTAAAAGGTAATGTAAGTCACAGGATAAACAGGAAATGAAACAGTACAGAATGAAACAACTAATTGGTTTGGCGATTTCATTGGCACTTCAATTGTATTACTCTTTTGGCTAAGAGGTAATGCAAGTTACAGGATAAACAGGAAATGAAATAACACAGATTGAAAACTCCAATTATTTTGGCCATTTCATTGGCATTTCAGTTGTATTACTCTTTTGGCTAAGAGGTAATGTAAGTCACAGGATAAACAGGAAATAAAACACACAGATTGAAAACTCCAATTATTTTGGCCATTTCATTGGCACTTCAGTTACATTACTCTTTTGGATAAGAGATAATGTTGGTCACGGGATAAACGGAAAATTGAAACTTACAGAAAGAAATTAATAAGTGAAACTAGATCGTGGTTCATCTCTAAAAATACTAAACATAACCTTTAGTAATTAGACGGGTACTTATCTATTTCAGGAGCAGCAAAAATCGCCGAACCGTTATTGATATAAAAGAGACTTAATTAACTGTAGTTATAAGTGTTACT